TTCTCATAGACTGTCATAAGGAACAGTCCTGAGCCACCTGCATTCACTGACTCCCTGCAATACGTTTGCGGTCCATCTAATTTATTCGAATAAATATCATCAATATTAATTAGCCATTGATGATTTTTTTAATAGGTAAGAACAGAATGGTAACTCCGCCTGCGCTATCGGTATAGGTATGTCGGCGGGGCACCAGTGAGGGATGATAAATGAGGATGAAAGCAGGTCAGTTGGCCTATCCTGAGGAATTCGATATGAATTAACCACGATGGTTTCCACGGGGTTATGAGACATGCTTGTTTCAAATGCACGAAAATTAATTTCTTACATAAAATTTGCATTTGCTATCAATTTTCTGAAAAACGGCCATTGCTGTAAAACATCCAAGTGACGAATTAATCTAGATGTATTTATCTAAAAAATAAGACATTTTTTATTATCATACGATATATAGTTCACGATATACAAGCTCGTAGCGCAGACGCCGTTGCGATCCTCGTGCACTTGAGCCCAATACATAACTTATTTGGCAACAGCTTACTTATTTAATAACTGTTTATTTTATTTATAAATGTATTATAAATAGTTATAAATGAGTTTCAAATATATATATATATATATATATATATATATATATATATATATATATATATATATATATATATATATATATATATGTAACACAAATTTACATAATTTAGAAAAATGCGATTGTAATTTTTTTTCGATATAAGTAATTTATACTATTATATATATATATATATATATATATATATATATATATATATTTGAATAGTAAAAAATTACAAGACTATTAAATTACTGATTTTGGAAGGATGAATTACTTGAAATTTGAAGGATGGGATGTATACATCATTGGTTTCCTAGGTAGAAACAGGATAACTAAACCAGAGACATTAAGTACTTAGGTGCAACAACTCAGGGATATCCTTTTCCATCTAAAAGTATCTATCGATCGAAGAAGAAATTAATATAGAAATTTCATGATTAACTGTATAAAATGAAATCTCATATTAAAACGACACATGAAAGAAGATACGTTCTCTTCTTTAACATCACTAGTTACACCTGAAGTACTGTTAACGATTTCAAATATTGCTCGATTGCACATTTGTTAAACGCATTTTTATGTATCATCTGGTGAAATGTTAGGGGTGTGTAATAACGTGGTTCCCCCTGGAAACTATCGTGAACAATTCTTGTTGAATTCGTCACGATGGACTAACTGACCTACTTTATCCTCACCTATCATCCTTCACTGGTGCCCCGCCGGTGTATACCGATAGCGCGTGGATACCAGGATACCATTCCATTATCATCCATTAAAAAAATATCTATATATTGTAGCTAGAACATCTGGCTACTGGTATATTGGCTAAATAAAAAATATATTAAATATCAGTTATGTAATACTCAGTACAGTATACTCTGTTATGTCCATGGTACTGCTCATGTTTATAGGCGACAGTTACCACTCAGGTCAGGTGGGCCGTCAGCTTGTTTGCCATTCTAAGTTGCATATAAATATATAACATTGAGATTAAATATCCGATTGAAATGAATATAGATATCCGTCTAGTACGGATTATATTGAATTACCATTTTTTCCACCATCAATGTTCAGATAAATCCAAAATATATGTGGATATCGAAGCGGTTCTGTATTACCCATTCCTAGGAAACGTGAACATTAAACAAATAAACGGCCACAAAAATAAAACCGACTTGAATTGTGACAAAACCGGTTATTTTGGTTTAAAAATTAAACTATTGAACCGATTTTAATAAAATTTCCATCAGATTAATCTGTAAATGTATCCTTTCAGATAAAACAAAATTTAGTCCAAATTACTTTAGAACTGACTAAGTTACGAGCCAACAAATATTTTAAAAAAATATAGCTGAATTGAGAACCTCCTTTTTCTAAAGTCGGTTGAAAAAGAATACATACGCAACCATTAGGATTACGATATCGTTTGTTTTAAGAACAAAATAAGCTACCTAATTATATTGATAGCGACCCAATTAACATTTTGAACGCTGCCAAAACGATCAATAATTTTAATTTTTAATTACATTGATAAAAATTATTTTAACATTCCGAATTATAAAAGTACTTAATGGTCCAATTTGACACAGATAATGTAAAAAGGTTTTAAAATTGATAATATAGCTAGTTTTTATTTTATTTTTTAATTTATTATTGACTTAGCGATGCGGCATATAGCCATGCCCTTTTTTATTTTAATTACTATCTACATGTAGATATATAAAATGTATGTATATAATATAAGTATATAAAATTTAATGAAAATTAATTGTGTCATTAAATCGATAAGAGGTACAAACACTTCTAAATTTTATAAATTTATAAATTTTATTATCATATCAACTCAACTGTCTATCATATCAACTGTCTATTGCTGAACAGGACCAGGGAGTCTTACTCCACCCATGGAGGGGGGGGGGGCTTTGCCAGTAGTGGCCATGCTTGGCAGACAGATTGGCAACCGCAGTTAGGTTTTGGTAATGTTTTACGAGATACGCTGTTATTCATACCTCAACAATTTATAGGTTACAGAGGAATAACACCTGAGTCCTCAGGAATAGCAACGCATGGGGAGTAACATTGGCGAACCTGTATACTCTGTTATGTCCTTGGTACTGCTCATGTCTGTAGGCCCACTTTCCATCAGGTGGGCCGTCAGCTTGTTTGCCATGCTAAATTGGATAAAAAAAAGACAAAGTAAATAAATTTTATAATCCTTACTGACATTATAAATGTGGAAGTGAGCTTGTCTGTTTGTTAGCTTATAGTGCCTTAACGACTTAACCAATCTCTATGAAATTTGGTACACGTAGATACTATATGGTATATATACTTTTCTATCCCATGGATAGAAAAGGATATAGGCCACTTTTTATCCCAGTCAATAAACATATCCCAGCCACGCAGATAATGTCAGGGGTAAAAGACATTATTAATATATTAAAGTATTACTTAAAGTATAATAATGTTGTACACTGCTATGTTTAAGTATAGGTATTATTAGTAACGATTAAATAAAATATAGAAACTTGAAGTTTTGGCTGTAGGCAACAGTTCTTTGTTTTCATATTATATTTTGTTTAATGTTCAGTGTATTAAAAACATATTGTTTAAATGTTTTTATTATAATTACCTAAACAAGTATCTTTCATAAAAATATGTATCATATTGAAATAAAGGATATATTTATTAACTAGCTTTTATCCGCGACGTCGCGTCGTTCACGTGATCATTTTTTCGCGGGATTTTTCACTAACCGGGACAAAAGGTCTTTATTTTTGTTCATTCTATATTGTACGTGTACACCAAATTTCATAGTAATTGGTCAAGCTGTGAAAGTGTTAAGAGGTAGCAAACAAATATACTCACATTTATAATTAACATTCATAATATTAGTAAGGATTTTAAATAAAATATATTTTTAGAATTAAATATATTCATATTTCCAAAAATTTTCATTTCCTTCTCAAATTGTTATATATTTATGTCTTGCTAATTAATTATTTATTCCAAATTACTATTTTAATACAAATAGGGTGTAGTTCCTTACATTCTCGGCTATAATTTCTCTTTCAATTCATCTACAAAATCCAACTCTACTATTTTTATTTTTACTTATAAGTATGACAGCAAGTTTTAGATTGTCAGTTTTTATTCATCCTTCAAGTAAGTAAGTACCTATTTAAGTGTACCAATTGATGAAGTACAATGTTACGTATTTATATGACTTGACATAATAATATGTTGCTTTACGATGTGTAACGAACTCATTTCTGTTGTACCTAGGTCATAAGAAAAAATTAAAAGTAATATTCAATTGAGTTAGGAATAAAGGGGCGAATTAGGAATAAGAAACGTAATAGAATGGGACATTATGGCTATGACTGTAAGGCTTACCCAGTAGATGTAATAAATAAATAAATTATAGGACGAAATTATGACAGTCCAATAAAATAGTAGGCAATAGGAGTGTTAAGTATTTATATACGTACTTATCAAAATTTTACGCATGACTGTACCATCTACAAAATACACAATATAGGTCTGAAAGCTAAAATAACGCAACCCGAAATTATATTTTTTCTGTCATAATTTTTTTTTAATTAGTTTTAATAAATGAATTAAGGAAATAATGTAAATGTAATAGTAAACATATGTTTAATATTATTATTATTATACCTAGTTGATAAAATACAATATTCTATTTTCTGAAAATATGTTTTAGACATTTATGGAAATCAATTATAGTTCAGATTCTATTACATTCGACCATTATTGTAAAGCCAATCGCCATTCTCTGGCTCTTTATCGTACAAACCATAATCTAACACCCTTTACCACTCCAGCTGTCAGAGTCAATACCATAAAGTAGCTATCTTCAACAATACATTATCCCCACTTATCTATGGCCATAACATGAAACTTGGGATCTATTTTATTATAAAGTGCATTGTCTACTATGGAGGAGCTCACTCGACCGCCGAACGTAAATAATTTAACTGTCTTAAAAGATTCAAAAATAGTTTCCTAACATTGCCCCCCTTAATATGTACACCATTTGTCAGACCATAACTGGATTTAAACGACGCGTTACAAGACAAAGGGTCCCGCCCTCTGATCAACATATAGTCGTTTCTTTCTAACATAAACAATCATTTATGTTGTCGCGTATGTTTGTCTCTTTTTTACATGTAATCTTGGCAATGTTTTCATCGTCACAACGGTGCTCAAAACGTGCCAACTACCATCGTGAGGTTAACAAAAATACACTTAGAGCCTCGTACGTTAAGAGTGAAATTGGAATGCATTGACCTATACGGGGGGACACAATTGAAGCGAGACATACCGCGAAAGGGACGGAGCAAACCGTTCTGTTTAAGTTAGTGAGTCCAAACGAGTTTTTATGTTTGGAAATCGTATTAAGCTTTTGTTGGAAACTGTTCCACTCAACGGGCATAGTTGAGTCGTTTGTGCGGTCAAACTATCGCGTTCGAAATTCGAAAAGCAGTGGGGGTGCGGCTGATTGGCTCGTTTCGCTTGATACTGTGTGTAACGATTCGGCCGCGGGCGGTCGAGCGTAGCGCGCTAAACGGAGCTTTTTCTAATAAGCAACACGAGTGCGAATGACTTACTCGTTTTAAATTTAATAATATAATAATAAACGGTAATAAAAAAATAATATATTATGTGTATTTTAATCATCAATGGCAATAATCAAATGTTACAGTGAAGATAACTATTGAGTGCCAGTGTTAATTTTACTAAATAAAAAAAAAAAACGAACAACATGTCATCAGTGCATTCAGATGATGATCAAGAAGAGATAAACGTAGACTCGGATAGTAGACTATCAGGCCAATGTGACAGAAGTATAGGTTCCGATGATAGAGATTCCGAACACAGCTACCACGATAGGTATCATGATTCTCCAAATGACCATATGACTGATACACAACCTAGAGTAAATTTACCCTTCAGCATATCTCGACTCTTAGGGAAACAATTCGAAGATATAGACAAACGGCGAAATTCTAGAGAGAGTGATGAGAGAAGTGACCAAGACACTGAATCGGAAAGTGCAAAGGACGATACTAAAGACAATACAAGTTTACCGTTAAATTTTGCTCACAACCCCGGTCTCTATCCTAATTCCGGTCTATTATTGAGACCGGGTTTAGGATTAGGAGCTGGATATGGATTTTCTAGTAATCCTGGAGTAGTAAGAGTGCCGGCACATAGGGCTTTGGGAGCATTAGGTGCTTGGGGTGTGGCGCTAGATCCTATGAGGCAAGCTGCAGCAGCCGCGTTTGCACACCAAGTGGTTAAGGATAGATTAAATGGTAAGTACCTTAATAATCTAATTGCTTTTATACTTACAACGATGCTCTCATTTGTCCTTGTTATTTTTTAATATTCATAAAGTAGAGAATTTAAGCGTCATAAACTACTTTTTTTTTTTATATCAGTAGTAGATATATACTAATATTACTAAAAGAAAAGATTTGTTTGTACGTAATAAATAAATTCAAAAATTATTTAATGGGTAAAATTCTATCATCTATAATATCACCAAAGGGAGACTTTGTACAAAAGACGATTGCTTGGGTACCTCTGTCCCATTCGTGTTTCAACCGTGAAGCAGTTGTGTTTGCATGGCTGTGTTTCGGTTTGAAGGGTGGGATATAGTGTGAATTTACTGGGTACAGAGGAATAACACCTGAGTCCTCAGGAATGGCAACGCATGGGAGGTATCATGGGCGAAACAGTAGAACTCTGTTATGTCCATGGTACTGCTCATGTCTATAGGCGACGGTTACCACTTTCCATCAGTTGGGCCGTCAGCTTGTTTGCCATTCTAAGTTGTATAAAAAAAAACTATTTACATTATCAATGAGTAACATAGGCTTATCCTATACTTAGGCATATCTTTACCAAAATTACAAGAAAGTAACATAAAGTATCGAAATTGCCTATTAAAGCATATAAAAAAAATCATTTATATATATCTACGTGTGTGAAGGTTAGGCAAATCGTTAGTACCTAATATATAAATATAGAATTCCATTATGGACTAGAAATAATCATATTATTTCAATTATCGACCAATATATTTAATTTGGTAGTATTTTATATTCATCTTCTATTTTTATTTAAGCAAATATTAATTTTAGCTGCAACATAAGCACTGGCAACTAAATTTAAATTCTCATATTCAAAACAAAAGAAAAAAACCACAAATCTTGCACAATTTCCTTGTCCAAATAAAAAAAAAAGGGTGACAATGTCCCCGGCGATTATACCCTTGCTTGTGATGACACACGTAGAAAACTATTCCCTTTTTTTCGTTCCTTTCCGGCGGTAAGGTGAGATTGGAGGCGCCTTCTTCACTGTAATTTGTCGCGCCGCTACGCCGCCGGTCGACTTACTTTTTTTTTTTTATAAGCTAAGCTAATTTGGTTCAGAACAGTGAACATTACTATAAAAAAATTGTAAATACTTTATTTAATGAATAAAGTTTTCATTTTATCTTATCGTTTTTATATATAACTGTATATAATAATGTTGAAAGAAATATAAAATATATAAATAGGTTTATGAATAAGTAATATAATAAAAATACCTAATATTATAAAAATCTCCAAATTATTTTCATACATATACATAATGCATACATTATAATGAAGTAAAATAAAAGTGTGCGTTTTCCATGATCTTTTTTTATATTTCTAAAGCTTACGAAAGAAAATTTTCTAAAAAGTGTATTTTTATGATAAAAAAAATCAATACCTATTTATAAACTATATCGTATACAGAGATAAAATCTGATATAATGTCTACGACAAACTAGTTCCATGTAATTAAGGGAACTTAGCAATTTGTCAAGTCACGAATTACGACGAACGGACATCCCGGGCGGCGGTTAGCGGCGCGGCGCGTGGTCGAACCCCGTTTTTGCGACCACCGGCAAAGTGGAAGCGCCTTCCATTCTGTAATTGAGTCAATAGCTCGGTGGAACTATATTTACTTTTATGGCATTGGATCGGAAGTGTTTAAGTGGTGACAAAAACACTGGGATTTGATAGAATCCATTTTTTTTTATAAGATATTTTGATACTACATCATATCAAATATCTGCGGAAGCAAGATTTGGTGTACAATCTATAAAGAGGATCGACCCATGAGTTAGGTGAAATTATTCACTGCTTGACCCTGTTATGCTAACTTACTAGCTGTTTTTCTGCACATCCCTTGAAATTCCAAGATTGCAATCATTATTGCTTAGATTGTAAGTTAAAGGGTTGTACAAAACCATATATATATATATATATATATATATATTATATGTGTATTAAAGTATATTTTGTATATAATAATGATAATTTTTATTGAAGTCAATAAATATGTAAGTAGTAAAATCCGCGAGACTCAGTGTGTGACAGGTCCTCGGGAACCGATTGAAAAAAAAATAGTTTTATGTTTATTTTTTGGAAGAGTTATAATTTTTACTCCTTACACTAATTTATATTTCTCTGACTATTTACCCGTTAAATAAAAGTCGAAAATAACTTTAAAAAATGCAATTCAATAAACCTGAGAAATCGTAGATTTGTGGTTACAGTACTTTGTGATAGGGATGTTACACAAATCTAGCTGGTGGTTTAAGTTTATTTTAATTCTGTAACGAAGAGTGATTTAGTTTATTCTGTATAGATTTATATGCATAATTAATTAAATATATATTCATACCATTTGTCTATATATTTTATAGTAGATATTTATGTATGCCGACGGAATACTATAGTAATATAGATAATAATTTAAGATTGTATTTCACAAAAAAAAACGACTTTAGGTACTTTTATGCCAAAACTAGTAATTTTAATTACAAAATGATATTACTGAACCGATTTTGATAAAACTTCTGTTGGCCTAATCTGTAAGTATGTCGTTTCAAATAAAAAAAAAAAAAGAATTTTCCAAATCGGTTTATAACTAACAGAGTTATGAGGTAAGAAACATAAAAAAATTACAACCGAATTGAAAACCTCGTTCTTTTTAAGTCGGTTGAAATCTACAATTTGTCAGTTGCTTTCAACCTTAGAATGTCGTAAAGAAAAAACGTCGCAAGAGAAGAAATACTCGATATAAATCGCTATAGCAAACCACCTGGCGAGCGTGTATCATCGTCATATCAGCCGTTAACTGTCCACTGCTGAACATAGGTTACCCCCATACACTGTCATAATGGACGGTTTCAAGCATCCTGCATACACTGACTCATTGTAATACAATAATTGTATTATGGCAGTGTAAGAAGAAAGATTGGATTTTTTTTTGGAATTGATATACTCAAAAAATATTTTACCAATTTGAAAAGTTATTTCACCTACAGAAAGCTATATTCTCTCTTTTCCTGCATTTAATTAAAAAAAATCATGCGGAGCTAGGTCGCTTCACTAGTATACAGAATATTATGTTTTGCCGTCATTGAGCGTACACATATGTATAATGGTTTATAATAGACGGGAATTAACCCGATTATTTAAGTAAACTAGGATAATTTATCTGAATTATCGCGACGTTTTGGCCAGGTTATACCAACGGTAGTCAGGAGTAGACTGACGTAGTGCTGTCATACCTCCGCTTCCGGAGTAGAAGTTTTTTCTTCTACCCACTCATTAATCCCACATCCCACAAATTATATTCCTATATTGAGGGTTTTTGCACACAACACTGACCGTGTCTTTATTCCATGCATTTACCAACTACACACTATAGCAAGGTAATATGTTTTTATCAACTACATAATCTACAGAATTTAATTTAGAAAAACCTGTTATTAACCATACCACTCTGTTATAAAATGTTTGTTAATTTTATTTATATAGTACTAATTTTATTTATTTATTTTTAAATAAATAAATAAATTACTGAACTGGCTCAATTAAACATTTTATGTTTCTTGCTTTCAATCGTTTTATCTATTAATCTTGAATATAAATACAATACAAATATTAGATAATGTAATTAACTACTACTCTAATTACGATGAGATTATACAAAGTTCATTTTGTATATTGATAGTTTAAGAAGCCCTTTAGATAACGTTTTGCACAAGTTTGACCAATTACACACCAGGAAGAGGATTTGTTTAAATTAGTAAAAAGTATATCTCGTCACAAAAAAAAAGTGAATGTTTCACGAAATCAATAGACAATGTAATCGTTCCAAATGATCTGCCTAGTGACCATTTCCGCCTCAGGGTCATTATTGTGACCACAAATTTTTACCTAACCCGCGTCCATGCTTCAATTACTGAATGGTCTATTTGACGCTTTTTATGGCGATGATTTCACCGTGTTCAATGACTTTGAAACGATAGGATCAATGGTTGTCTCAATCTTCGTGTAAAACTTAAAGATCTATTGCAATCGCTTAATATTTTTAATAGGATGAATATGAAATGGCAGATACAAGTGGGCGATGATAGGCGAAGTTGAAGCCAATTCAGTTAAGGATGGCTCCTTAGGAATTTATTAGGAATTGCTCACAATGGTTTCCAAGGGGTCCGCGTGGAAGTCGACTTAACAGGATATATTGGTAGAAATGAGACCAATAGACCAATTACTAGGAATTTCATTAAATATAGCTTGATTACCTACGTGCTGTAGTAAGTACCTAAGATGATGAAACATTAAAAGCTTTTTAATTGGTAAGACACGAAAAACCATGTAGTTGAAATATAAATATTGAGACGGGTGTGTAGAGCTATAAGGATGGATAAGATTAAGTAGCAGAGTTTGAAAGAATAAAAATAAAAACGAAAAATTTTATAGAAAGGCTAAAAAGTAATCGTATGCCATGATATGGATATATAGGGACGAAGATAATGTTCCGAGAAAACTATTTGGTATGAATCCATTCTTCTATTATCATAGCCGTGGATGGCTATAAGGAGTAGAGGAAAATCTAAAAAGGATTTGGATGAATTTTGTAAAAGATGAATAGCCATATAAATAAGTCAAATACAGAATAGGAATAAGAAAATAAGAACAGCCAAAATAGGAGTGAAACTGAAACACTCACTGGTTAAAGATCTTTGTCTTTAAACTTTAAGCTGATGATTTAAGATTTGTTAAAGATTGCATTATTGTTAATACACTTTATTTTATTTGTTTATTTATATTTATTAGTATATTTCCTTAATAAAAGAGTAGATAAGGCTCAAATCGACTCCTGTACGCAATATCTGATTTTCATTGGCATACAATGACTCATTATATACAATATTCTTAGCTTTGATACAACATAATCGCTTTAGTTTGCAATTGTCTTCAAT